CTAATTAATTTGTAATTTTTCTGAAACAGAACCTTATCTGGAAATAGGATATCTGAATCTGTTACGAAATACCGTCCTCAGATGAAAAAGCTGTGAATCGCTTTTTGGTTGATGGTTAATTTACGAATTTCCAAAGCAAAACTAGTTGGACATTTCATCTTATTTTAAAGTGGCTGGAGGTATTTCACCTACCATCAAGTGAATGGTCTACGCTTGTCTGTATCCCTCCATCTTAAAAATTTGACAGAAAAGAAAAACAAGAAATAACTACGTTAGAAAATTTTAGCGCTCACAAATGTATTAAAATAGAACAAAAAGCAATTCACCATTCCAGCATCCAATATGAAAATTCCAAATAATTCATTTCAATCATTCAATTTATACTCAATCAACAACAAAATTCCGCTAAAACTTAACAAAACAAACGGTCATAATCAGTTCCCGACCAATAAAACAATAAAATCGCTTGACGAATAGTGTAATCAACAATGGTCGGGAACAATAAAAGTTTCAGCGCGATCCATTTTCCAAGTATGAACAATAAACAATTTTCCTGAAAATAAGAGTAATTACCAGCGTCCATGTGAAACGGTACGAGTAATAAATCCATTTAGTGCTGAAGGGGGCGCTGATTTCTCCCGCAAAGTGGAGCGGCTATCTAGCAATTAAAACTTTACACCTGTATGCATTCGCCTGTAAACTAGTTTACACCTGTAAACCTGCTATGTTGGTACGTAGCATAACTGAATTATTAATCTGTAAATACACGTGAACAGGTTAAGGATTTCAAACTTTCAACGACGTGTATCAGCATATTATGTGAATCAGACTGTACGTACAATTTGATTCACAGCATACACGGAGGTAACATGTTTTTGTGTCTGAAACTCGAATCAGTTTTGAACCATATAATGCCACGCTTATCTGTAACTATATAATTATATAGTCTTCCCCGAAAAACCTAGATTTGAGTTCAATGACCCTTCCCAAAGTGGTATATATAACTAGTTTGTAAATTTTACGATTAACAAATGTACTTATAACAGTTACGTAGATAACTCCGCATAAGTGGTTGCAAATATTGCTTCTCCCCAGAAATAAGATGCGAATGTGGCATCTGTATTTGACATTATTTTCGGAAACTTATCGGAATGTTTACATTTTTGAAAGCTTCTTAGTATTGTCGCACGACGGATGTCCGGCGGCGTCGCGTCTAATGCGACTTGCACTTACCAAACGATATGCAATCATCAGACGAATAACATGGCCTTTCAAGCTATGTGAGAGAACGTGTACCTCTTGCAGCGAGTGTTTACTCTGCAGAGAATAGTTATTTTAGTTACAGTTATAGTCATTATCAAGAACACCTCCACACCTTTTTCAATAATAGCTGTTACCCACAACGTCAGTCGCGTTCCTTCGCTCTTGCAAGTTAAAAATATAAGATACACAAAAAATAACCGCGGACATTTTTCTAACATTTAAAGAGGAATCATTATTGTGTACATATTTTCAAAGATTAATATTTACACCCATTTCTTCCATATTACTTACTGCTTCGTCGCTCCTATGGATTACAGCGTGATGTTATAGCCTTAATCATTCTTCGATATATGCCGACCAACGCAGAAATAATTCTTCAGCTTTATAATATCAGTATAGATGCGTCGATAAATACTTATTACGGACTATGTCAGTAACTTGCGTAACAATTATTTTCTATTAATTTGGTAATTTATTTGGTACAGCTTTTCCGCTACTTACATGCTGTCAGATTGCCACTGGGTACATGACATAAACGAAGACAACTCTCGAGTAAAACTCTAAACCTCTCTTATCGGACCACTTATCAGTTGTCAAACAAATCAATAGATGAGTAATGGACGGGTGAGCAAACCGACACTAACGCTAACTGGAAACTGCCATCTTGCCTTCGTAATGTCTACGCGCATTAGTGTGAATCTCAATTTATTCACAATTCCTGACCCACATTCTCCTGCCTTTAATGTCGCCTAGATCTAGATATATTGCTTTTAACGTTAATACCGTTTTTGAGTGTCCCGCAGTTTCATATGTATCACGTATAGCTAATGTCTATAAAACAATTCTGAAGACAAAGGTGTTGGTATATTTAGAATTGCTTTTAGAAAACATTACGCCTAAGCCTTGAATGATAAGTACCTTTTAAAACGTTGTATGTTGTAGACAAGAAATGATCTTTTGAATGTTTAATAAGTCTAAATGAAAATAGTCGTTTATGCTGAAACGTTGTTCTGTACATTTATAGTAGTCTCGAACGATTTTAAAAGTTATCTTTGCCAAAATAGTATAATGAAAACTAATTATACATTATTATTTATACAGGTCCTCTAAGTTTGTTACTTTTAAATATGTAACGGTCTATTAAATATACAAATACACAGAAGCCATCGTGCCTCCTGATTAATTCCCATCTGTATAATTTGCTTCCATTGTTCCGTTAGCAATTCTGTTACGATTCTGTCCTTTACTTGATTTAGACAAGAACCTAGGGATTTGACCTCCTTGTAGGATTAGGCTTACGGCCAAGAGCAAGACAAACTGTTATTAAGTACGTGTAAATATTCACTATTTTGTCAAATCTAGGAAAACCAAGCATCGTCCATTATTATACATTATTAGCTGTGTCCGCGTAGAAAAGTTATTCTGGACATCAATTTTTTTTTGCAAACTTTTCCACGATAATTTTTTTTTAGATCATATATAGAACAATCATTCCTTCACACATAGTTTTTCGGTTTCTTGAAACGTATTCGCAGAAGTCGCAACGGACACCCACAACGATAAATGATTTTCCCTATTTTTTACCTCATTTCCCACTGTTTCTCCTTACCCTCCTAATGGTCATAACGTGATATTTTATAGCGAAAAAACCTTTTTTGGTAAATGCATAATCCAACACAAAAGTTATTATTCAAATAAACTAACAAAACTCTTCAGCTCTATAATTATATCATTATACATTATAGCTAGTACCTACTTGCAATATGTTAAAGAGCTAACACGGTATACTATAGCTGATACCAAAAAGGTGAGTGTACGATGAGTGGCCCTAGATTTTCAAACCAACAGAAAAGCCTTTCAGACTTTTAGCCAACGGCTTCTGCTAAAGCTACCGCCATAGACTGTGAAAATGAAACAGATGCCATATCACTACCGGCGCCATAAATCGACATAACTTATCTTACGGAAATTGGATGGACTGAGTCTTATCCAGCACATTTTTGGATAAAAACGCAACACATTCATTTTATTGATTGACTGTGGGTTTCAGTACCGATATTTTTTATTTTTTTTTAACTTTGAGAGTCAACTGCGATAAGCAACTCAAAGGGAGACGTAACATTGGACTTACATAAAGTTCACCTACGTAACGCACTTTAGTTAAATAAGCCTCTAATATTTTTTATATCGTTTATAATCTGTGGTAGGTCTCGTTAGGAGCACAAGTGGCCCGCGTGCAGGCTTGCATTAAGTTGTATAAGGCATTAATGCACCAACGCGCGGGGGCGCATGACCACGCCTGCTCATACGAGTAACTTATAATGCACGGCTTTTTTAAATCCTTTGTAGCACACGGAAGTGTTTCTTGGCAACGCGGAATGTAAGCGAAATCTCGCAAATTAGCCTGCAAATACTGCCTTTATAAAGCGCTTTATATGTTTTCTTCTAATTGCCTAGTCGCGTTTCTTATACAACGTACAGACAAAACTTATATCTATAGGCGATGAGCTATGCACCTTTTAGTCCTTATTCTTTTAATAATTATAGCTTAAAGCACTTCTTACTTCCTTAAAATTAATAATGATGAATGAATATAATATTTATTTAAAAATCATTTTCTTTGTCTTTTACAGATAAACAGCGACTGACTAGACTGATTTTAGTAGACTGGAGTTATGTAGTATAAATGTATAAAAGTAAGCAAGCTTTAAAATATACACTTACGTATTATTTAAATTTCCCCCAAAATGTACTATTTAAAATATGAATCGTTGAGGTCTAAAATCAACAATGGGTACGTCAATAGGTACATAATAATATTCACCGACCCTTCGAGATTACTGAATATTGCCTGCGGGTTCTCCGCCAAAGTTACAACCCTTGATTAAATGCATTCGGTGCGCCGAACCGCTATGAAAATTAATAAAATATGATGAAAATGGCTTCAGGCATCTAGAGAAGAATAGGAAAATGATACTTAGCCTTATGGCAATGCCATATTGAAATATATAACGATTCCTTTGGGAACCTTTGCAATATTTAATATTTGAGAATGCTTTCAATTAATGTTGTAAGTGACTTAATTAATATCCGCTTTATTATGTCGTAACAATACAATTTCATGGGGTAAACTTGCAAACAGGACAGCGTTCCCTGTTATTGGAAACAATTCATTTTCTCATTTAGAAACATGTTTTAATGCAACTTTTTTATTAAACTTCTCAATCATAGTAGAACCAACATGACATATACATAAGTCACACTTCAAGGATGTTTCAGCACACATTTATTACTTGCCTCTTAATTGTCAGATTCTTGAAAGTTTCTCATAAATGTGAAAAATGAATACGCCGTTTTCATAATCTGTTGAAAAGATATGATTACTTTTATGATTTGTTTATTTATTCGTTGTTGTTAGCTTATATCAGATGTAGGAAATATAAAATAATAATGAAGTGCATTTTTTAAAAATATGCACAAAAATTTTACATTATATTAAATTAAAGAACGATTTATGTCCAACTTCACGGTTTATAATGCTAAATTTATTAGTTAAACTTATTTGAAAATTGTTTTAACTATACAGCCTGACGTTTTGAATACTTTGCAGCAGTTAAAATAGTTTTTAAATAAATTTTACTAATATATTTCGCGTTTTAAACCGTTGCAGTGTTTTACTTAAATGTGTATAAACTACAAACACTGCTTAGAGTACGATTACAAAGTACCATGAATGACTAAATTGTGATAAGCTGAAATGCAGTAGGTACCGATGTAAAAGAGTCCAGGGTTAATGGAAAAAGTCCACATCCGGTCAAGAAAATGGCCGTGTTCGCTCGCAGCATGAAAAGTTTGAGGCTGCGCTTAAAACTTTCTGATCTGGAGATCCACTCCGAACTGTAAGCTGCACTGACTAGCGCTTGACTCTGGAATACAAATTTATCTTTCAATTGTTTTAAAATTTATATAAATCTACGTGTACTCTGATATACAAAGCGAAAGATTATTGATTACTTATTGACTATTATTCTAGTTGTATACTTTGAAACGAGACAAAGTATAAGTAAGTGACACGCGTTTCACTAAATTACTCATACTTACTGAATATCTCAATTGAGTTCCGAAATAAGCTGGCACGAAAATTTGCAATAGCATAACGAAAGCATACGCAGACATATAAAGCAGGACGGATATAAGATCTCGTATTGATTTTGGCTGAAAAGGTTTAATTTTTTAAACAAAATCATTTACTGAGTCGAGAACAAAGGAGTATGTGTTGTTTATATACCATGAACAAACTGCATAATATTGCACAGATGGATCCAGAAGCAACGCTGAACTGAATGAACATCGTGACGCTAGTTATATCTTGTACGACGGAAACGTAGCTGTTAAAAAACACCTCATTAGTTTATTTAGAATTTATTTTTTGTTTTACTCTCATCTGTGATGGAAAAAGGAAAATTTCAATAAATAATTAAACTAAACAAAATTTGTATTTTGACTATGCAAACCTAAATTAAAAAATGTATTAATAATACTTACTTTAACAACATGTCGTAATGTCTCAAACACTTGTCAAGCTTTAGGTTCTCGTCTGGGTGACAATTTCTCCTTTTTAAATTCCTCAATTCACTATCGATAACCTTAACTTGTGCGATCGCGTGCAACATCAACCCGGCAATTAAGGTGTCCACATTAACATTGTACATCATGTGACCGAAAATTCCCACACACTGATAAATCCACAACATTACAAAATATCTATCGACCGTTTCTTTATCTAAGAAATAATAATTATAAAACGGTAATTCAATGTAAGTATTAAATACGAAGTGCATAAATATCGGTATGTTTATTTTCAAAAAGTACGATGCAGTTGACATCAAAGCGATAAATTTCCAATAATTCTTGTATTTCGATAAATATTTGGTGACAATGTGCTCGCTCCGGTCGCCTTCACCTCTAAAATTCTGAGAATCCAACATACGAAAGGCCTTAACTAAACTATCTCGCTTCCAGATTACCATTACCGCCTTTACAGTAGCCGATGCTTCCGCAAAATAAAAAAGTACTTCTCGAATCATTAATTCGATATTTAAGGGAGTGTAAAATAAGTTGAGGGTCAAAAGGAAATTGTACAATATTAATGTTAGGAATAAGTACAACCCCGAATAATATTTGTAGAGTCTGGATAGAGGAGCACCTGGCCACGGAATCCCGAAAACTCGTAGACAAGTAAAATTTATGGTAAAACATTCAGAAATTTTATTGGCCATTCTCACACCGTATTCTTCACCAAGATACTTGATGGCGAATGATGAAAAATGTTACGATGCTATTATCCAAATCATTACTTATACGACCAGTAAATAACCTAAGTACTTATTTTCCAATTAAATAAGTGATCATTAGAAACACATTTTTATAACAAATTTTATCGCTCTGACACCCATGTATGTAATTATAAAAAACGTCCCTTCCATCTAATTAGATTATAAAATCGTTACCTAACTAATAGTTTGGAAAATTATTTTAACAATATTTTCTAGTTAAAATATTCTCCCTCTTTCTATACTCACTTACATAAAAGTGGTCAGCTCTCCTGTACCATATTAAACTTTTTCTGCCCTGAAAACCCGTGAAAGAGAAAACGAAGAATACTTTTTGTGAGAGTGAAAAAGCGACGTAATTTATTTTCCCTTGGTGCAATATTTAGTGCTGTCCATTACTACAGTTCGCGACCGAACATTATTCACAAAGATCCATCTTTTTTTCCACCTGCCGCAACGTTTGCGGCCGTTCATATTACATGTTATGCGTGCTCGTATAATTTTACTTTTACTTCATTAATACAAAATGTCAGCAAGTGTTTTTTTATTATTATTTAATTATAATATAAGGGCCTAACTATTCAAGTGCAGATTCCCCTGTTTTGAAACCATAACTTTAATGGAAACGATAAAAGGCACACAGTAATAATAATTTCTTTAACTGTGTGCTTTTTTATAGACAATAAGTTGAATAAAGTATATATTAGAAACTTACTGCGTCAGCGACTTCGTCAGCGATAATCGTTGGTTTTTGCAAGCTGCTTCATTTTTAAAACTTAAGGCGTGATACCCACGACGTAGGTCGCGTCTCTCCCCGTCGTTCTTGCACTCTTAAAACTATATATATGTATAGACATATAGCGTCGGGGACTTTTTTTAGATCATTTAAAGAGGGATCATTCTTTCATAGATATTTTTGGGTATTTTGAACCGTTTTTGCAGCGTACACCTCGGGAACTTCTTTCACATTTCTCGGTGTATCTTCGCTTATATTAGTCACAGGGCGATTATTTATTAGCTATGTTTATTAGGGGGTTTGATAAAAAAAAAATGTCAATTCGATCGCGTAATTTCTGAGATTAGCGCGTTCAAACATACAAACAAACAAGCTCTTCAGCTTTATATATTAGTATAGATAAAGATGTGACACGACGCTGACTTAATCAGATCAATGATGATCAAAGATGAGATGTATGACTTATAAAATAAAAAAGAATTAAAAAAAATGTAACACGATAACATAATGCAATTTAGAATGCCAGAGTATTCATAACTTAAATAGTTTTCAGCTTCAAGCGTATTTTTCTTTTTCGTAGTGTTTTTTAATTTAATTATGTTCTAAATCTTAATCTAGTGTATGCAAATATTATGTGAAGATAAATGTTTAATGTAATATTTTAAAAAATAATTTTGATAATTGACATGCGGATGATAGCTTGACGTGCTAGTCATACATGGCCGTCTTTGTAAGCCTGTGGTCTAAACAAACTTCTACAAATGTCAAATTAATCTGTGTTTCTGTCACAGACTAGCCGGTAAGAATAACATAAATCCTACTTAGCAAAAAAAAAATTACACCGCGTTTTTCCAACTATTATTTAAATTTTTATGACATTTACTCATTCTAATAGAACAACAATTATTACACTACTCTTTTTAACCTATTTGCGATTGAACTATTAGTGCGAGTGTAACGTGGCGCGATTTTAAGCCAATCTCTTATTTAAACGAAAATATTGTTAATTTAAAATCTTAAATAGTCATTAAATATGCGATTTACTGTTGAGAACAGTGAATCCGGTCGCTTAGGGTGCCTAAGAGATTTTGAAAGATCACCATACACGTCACTAGAAACTCCTACATCTGCTCTTCTGGCTCAGGTATTCTACAATTTTAAAATATTCTTAGATAGCATTGCATTTGTATTTTTACATTCTACTACTATAGATTTCCTTAAATGAGTAACATATTTTCCTCAATACAAAATTGACACCAAGCCACCATTTTCTGCAAGTATAAAACTATTTTTTATTGTGTATTATGATGATTTCAGGCTGGCAGTGTAGTTCATCTAACAGCAGATGTTTTGGCTCGAGTTTTTAAGACACCACATTTGCTATGGCTTCCTCTGACTAGTTGCTATCAGCTAGAAGCGGGAACCAAAGCTCAAGGTGATGGAATAGCCAAATTTTCAGGATTACCCCAACACATAACATGTGCAACATTCCAAAATATTAGTGATAATTTACCTACAGGACATTTTGAACTTGATAAGGTGCCCCTATGGACAAAGAATGGAAAGAAAATGATAACTGCAGAAAGGTTCGCTAACTGTGTCTATTGTATGATTTAACATTTTTTTTGTCTAAAAGAATATGTATTCTTTATCCTATGGAAAAAATTCATTTATTTTAGTTGAATGTGCAACTTACAGCTAATGTTAACTGGTAGCTATTTGTTTATGTGTTTACAGTACAGAACAATTTGATGTTTCCTTCTTAAATAACTTTAGAACCATACAAATATCCTTTTTCAGATATATGGAATTAATGGAAATATTCAAACCAGATATAATTTTAGCTATTGCAGATGGGCGGATAGCGCTTGATGAAGGGCCAAAGAGAATATTTAAATCAGTGGAAAGAACACAAAAAATGCTCGACATTTGTGTTGAGAAATACAAAGAGTCTAAAGCTTTGCACAGTAGTGGCCTTGTAGGTGTGTTTAACTTTGTACATTTTCACCGAACATTTAAATGTAAAGAATGGCTCAGCCCTATGTTATCTTAGATGCTATTGACATAATGTCGCTTAAGACAACAGAAATAGTGTGCAACCAAAGATTGAATAATAGACTTCATAGCTTTTTGTGCTTTGTTTGAATTTTGTAGATGCTAGCAATAAAAATCTGCAAACAAACTGTTGAGAATATATAAACAACTGTCAGTATCTTTAAAAAAAATATGTAGGTAGGCTAGCTGGGTACACACTTATGAATGTTAATTTTCTTTAAATCACACACAATTTGTTTCTTATTCCAGGTGTAATAGTTGGTGCTGGCGATTTGAGAAGACTGGAAAAAAGCATAAAGTATACTCTTAAACATAAGGAAAATTTAATAGGTATATCACTCAACGGCATTGGAGATTGTTCAGATCAAATTTTAACAACACCTGTCAAACGATTGGAGGATATTTTTAGAACAGTTGCAGTGAGTGGAACTTATTTTTCCTTTAATAATATATTATTATTATTAAAATACTGCTGGCACTGAATCCTGAAAAATTGTATCACATTTTTTTATCACTTGCCATAGTATAATTATATCTATTTATGTAATTTAAAAATGTACATTATACTTCAATAATACTAATACCATTATCTTTATATAATTTTGTTATTTTTATTGCAGGCATTAGTCCCTCCAGAAATGTTAAAAATTTTAGAGGGATGCTGGTATCCAAATGTTATTGTAACAGCTATAGAACACGGTTGGGATGTGTTTGATGGTTCTCTGCCACTGAAGATGACCAACATGGGCTATGCACTAAGACTTAACTGTGATATAAATAAACCAATTTTGTCTGTATATGCTTTAGATATGAAATTAAAGCGGTTAGTATTTTATGTTGAACCTATTATAGCTATATATTATTCCGTTCCTCATTGCCGAGGCATCTTAGCATTAACTGGTTTCTATAAAGTATTTCAAAGTTCTAAAGCTGCTTGTACATTAAATAATTAGTAAAAATTGCAGACAATAGAAATATCCACATTACCATGTAAACTACATTTTCGAATTAGATGTACAAATTATTTCTGTAATTGTTTATTTCAGATATAATAACACATTCACCCCCTTGCTTAAAGGTTGTGAATGTCTAACTTGCAAGAAACATTCCAGAGCCTACATCCATCATCTTCTTGTTACCAAAGAAATGTTGGCATCTGTTTTGTTGAATATGTAAGTATTACCAATTTCTACTACCTTCATTGCTCAAACATGCCTATGTCTTGTTTGTGAATCTCAGGAAACCCAATAGAACTGTTGTTTTCTGCAAGGCAAGTTTTATATTATTATAAGTGTGTGTATAATACACACATATAAAAATATGTATTTGTTTCCTATTCTTATAGACATAAGATAGCTGATGACCTTGTGATAAACAATTCAATACAAAATGTTGATTACTAAAACACGATGTTAGTGAAATTTACTTGCATAAAAAAACAGGACTAAAATCTTTGTTATGCAAAGTCACGCATTTTTATAATAACAACAGAAAATATATTTTTTTTCAAATTATCTAAAATTGAATATCATTCGTGTAATTCGACGTCTACGTCTGTAATTTAACTATACGAGTGTTATTTTTAGCATAAATATTGCACTAAATAGTATATACCAGAATTGACGTTAATTTATCAATTTGCAGACACAACCTTCACAACTTCGACCAGCTGTTTATTAAGGCACGAGAGCACATCGCGTTGAAGACATTCCACTTGTTCAAACAACACATAATACAACAGTGTCTCATGATAGAGCCCTTGGAGACCTCTACAACAAATCAACCAGTTCAGAGCCAACAGCAGCAGAAGAAGTTTTGCGCGAAAAGCCTCAATAACAATACCGAAGGGAGCTAACAGAACCCTAATCTTAAATAAAGGCTTTTGTGACGGGTAGGTCTTTTTTTGACTGTTAGGTAGGAGTCTTGGGAATGATTCTCAACATTTGTATTCCCATCTTGACCAAAAACTTACTGAGATTGGAAAATCGGTAATAGGATAAAGTGGTCATCCAGTCTTTAGTGTGAAAAATAAATAACTCCTAAGGACAAGGAATAATTTCTCGCTAGTGCCACCCTAATACCTCGGAAAAACCACAAAGCTACTATGGCTCAAGACCCTAGTTCGTGTAGTATTAAATGAAATATGTGTAAGGTACAACTTACCAATAGTTAATTGTATATTTTGCGTGACTTTGTCTCATATATAATGTTAATGTGTTATGTCCATGTCTATAAATTATAGTATTTCTGTAAAGTGTTCTACAAAGTAGGTTAACTGGCACACTTATTCTATATTAGATACATACTGTCTATAATACTTGTAGGATGTGTACTTTATCTTAATTGAATTGTACTTGCATTGTTTTATGCATAATGAGCTTGTAAGCATTCCTATTTTCGTACTTATCGTGTTTTTGTGCATATTTTTGCTCATAATTCTGTGGTGCCTCAATTTACCGTTATTTAGTTTTAAGTCTATTCCTGCAAAGAATGTGCCTCAATAAGGAAATCATAATAATTTTGTTACTACTGCCAATGTATTTGCAAAGGTGACTTATTTATTTTTCATTAGCCTTTTTGCTTGACCATTACCTCAGGTTAATATTAAAATTGATGTAATTTAGTAGCACAAATGAGGTTCTCAATGTTTACACTGGATAAGTATTTTTAAAGTATTATCAGTATGAGAATATGATATTGTGTAACCCTAGAGAAAGGTTGTGAGTTTTTCTTTAATTTATTACTTTAGTATAATATTGCGTAATATAATCATGTGAACAAAGTTCTTAAACTTTCATAGTGGTTATGGCATTGTGTGTGACTTGTTAATTAATGCGCTCTGTTGGTATGTTGTTTTCGATTTTTTTGGCTTTCAATAAATAAACTCTGACCCAATAGCTAGATATTTTTGGCAGATGCATAAATTTAGGAATATAAGAAAATCACACATATAACACATTTTACATAATATTTTATTAATATTATTTACATAATATTTCAGTGACCACACTTATTGAGCTAGGCGTATTATACGAATGTGCAAGATTTCCATGTAATTGAATTACAACATTACAATAGATACATAACTAAGATAATTTTAAAGGTTTGGCAGGAATTTGCTAGAATAATTACAATTTCAAAGACTAATAACAGACGTTTAAAACTTTACAGTAAAATAATATATCCATAGGAAGCAAAACCACAATGTACGGTTGGCACAATAAGTGAATTTAGGTGAGTTCCATATAAAGAACACGGCATATAATATGTATGTTACAGAACTAGACAAATACATGGAAAATTATATTTGTGCTTTCATAGATAGATATCATATATTAATTATTAGTTTATTATATTTCATGTCATAGGCAAAACATTATGTTGCTAGTATTCTAAAGTTTGTTAACAATACCACTGAGCCAGCAAGGTGTGCATGCGCACAGACATTTCAATACAACGCAATTCCATTTGATAAATAAGTTGATTTATAAAAAATATGATTTGATTATGGAAGCTTTAAAGTTACGCAGTAAGTTTACTATACACAAGTTCATAAAATCATTAAATAAGTACATCTATAACGTGTTCATTTCGTTAAATAAAATGTGATGCAACATTATAATAAGATTCCGTTCCATCATAAACTGTTTGCAACATCTTTGATAACATAAATAGTAATGCACCGGAGACATAACCAATTCCATTACCTATTAATTCATTGTCATAGATTAAATGTAAAGGTTAAAATGATAAAATAAGTAATACAATATGACCTATGCTGTAACAATGAGAAAGGAATAAGTAATCAAACTGGTTATCTACACTATTCAGTCTAAAATAAAAAAGCAGCCGCAGCAAACTCCCATTCCCCCCAATACGATTCGTGATACAAAAAGCGAGATCTCCAACCTGATGATTAAATAAATTATGAAACGAGATCGGTGCCCCAACGCTCAGCATATAGAACTTTGTTCCGACTGACCTCACTGCACTGAGTCCACACTAGCTCGGCTTTAACTAACACTGGTTTTTCGCTAACACTACTTTCAAGTTTCACGTGTCCGTCTTTTTCTTTTCGCATCTAATGATAAGCTAATATATTTGCTGCCGACCCTCGCACTATACGAATTCGTTCGTGCCGGGTGTGTTGAGCGGTTCTTGAGCCTGAAAGAGAACACGGTGCTATTAATAAGAATTCGTCGTAAGTCTGACAGAATAATTTTAACTTGTCTATAACTCTTGCGGAATTAGCATGCATACCTCTCTGAGAGGTGAGAAGGGACTAAAATACTTTGCAATTCTACAAATCATGTGTCTAAGTGTAGACGGGATTACATCGATCGTGTGATTGGTTCATTTTCCTGATTGAATTTGATAACGATTAATGTTGCGCTATGTTATCAATCTATAATTACCGTCATGGCATAGATCTACAGGCTTAGACTAAACTTACCATAAAAGGCCCTCGCATTGAAAGGCGTGAAAAATAAAATCGGCAGTAAATTACGATTACGGGACAGGCGTAAGGTAAAATACAAAAAATAGCCTACCGAAATAGCTATTTACAATACGATAATCTCTACTTTACGAACTTCATATGCGACTTTGGCAACTATTTTTTAATACTGATGCGGTAAAAATGTTGGCACAATCCCTCGCCGTCGTCTTACGCTAACGTAAAATATTTCTATAAATTTCTTAAATTCACCTAGTAAATAAGTCTAGATACACAAAATTTAAAATGTCGATAGACCTTAACTATCATCGATATACTATAATATAGTTAACTATTTACAGAGTTTCGTTAGGGGTTTGAATTATTAAATGTACACCAGCGTCGATTTTAATACCAGCTGTTGTTTGCTCGAGGGCGATAATTAATCACCAAATATTACAATTAAAGTAGCGCCATTAAAGCCTTCGTATGCTTTGTAAGCCAAATGTAGAAGACATTTGCACAACTTGACAGAGACTGGTCTTAACTGATAAAGAAGAAACCGAGTTAAAGGCGCGACTTTATTCGGGTTCATTTATTCCTTAAAGTAATCGGCTCCTACGGAGGGCAGTGTGTGCTTATCTTAGGCTGTTCTGTATGTTGAGTGTGCACTCCATAGCGGTGAGAGCCCTTACCTCTTCGCCCACAGTGCTGGGGTACAGTTTGCTGCCCGGTGCGTATCCATTCTGTTCTAACGCGAATTGGTTCTCTGTAGTCTTACGATACACAGGATTGTCGAAGTTCATGGACGTGACGTTACGATGTACGTAATGCCGGTACATTACCACGGCGATCTGAAATAAAATTGAAATTGACATTATCATCGTTAACATCGACCTTTAATAGTTTCCTCTGCAGGGGCATCGCCGCTTTTCTCCCTATGTTACACAAGCCATTTTTTCTGTAGAAAGAAAGCCAGTATGGAATGAAAAATAATAGTAAAGTAGTGTGATATGATGCTTGAATCATCATTTCAATAAGACAATTACTATATGATTATATCAAGGAAGTTTCATAATACAAAAACACTGATAATGTGTAATCATAGTAGTAATTACCTAACTCATTACTTTTGATATAGTAAACATATCTCCGTAAATACTACGCACGACTACTATTAGCTTTGATTCATTGATTGCGCTCATTAATCACCCGCGTCGCATCATATCAAAGCTTGTCAAATTAAAATTAAAACTGCAAACTAATTAGTCATGTTACGGCCTACTTCTACTACGGAAAATTTGTTGTAAACTATTAATATTTTTGTCCTTGAATATTTTTCCATTTTCTATCCGTTTTTGCCGATATTGATAAAATACTTAACGTAGCTTCCATTCTCATTCGGTAAAATTTTATTTAGGCAAAATTTAAAATGTACACTACTTTATGGGGGTTAGAATTTCAGATAGTATTTTATTATGGCATCCTTATATCCTTTCTATTTATTGCGTCATCATTTGAAGAAACAAAGCTTTTTTAAACGGTACAAACTAAAACTGCAACTTAAATTATTATTAATTAATAAACATGGTGCAATGGATTGACGCGCATTTTTTGTTGTTCTCGTAAGACACGGAATGTATGCGAAAAATACGTGAACACGTCGCGTCACCACGCAACCTCAATTGCTCGACTAGCCCGTGCGTTGCCTAGTGACAACTTTCGCAATGCTATTTTTGTATCGATCAATTTGAAGTCGACGAGCCATCATTGCCGTCGGGGTTTATCTTAATTGGAGATTTTACCCACGAATTAAATCCACATCATTAATTTTTGTTTTTGCTGGTTTCCAAACAATTATATCGCATAAACAAAATTAAATTTCGACAAGGTTACATTATTATTTACTAGGTCTATAAATTATATTACTATAAGCATCAAAATATTTACAAACCCATTTTTAAAATAAAGTTAAGTTATCAAACATGATATACATAATTAACTATATATAATAGAAAAAATATGTATTTACACTTATTCATATTAAGATTGTCAACAAAATGTTCTAAATCTATGATCAATAGATCTATTTTTTTTGTGCATATGATACAACTCATGACTTACCAGAGCAGCAATAACGATGATTCCTGAGATGACAGCGACGACGACGCCAGCTACCACACCAGCGTCGCGACCGCTTGTTGAGATTCCTGTACCAGTCTTTGGAGTTTCTGGTACAGCTGTAATACAATAGGATCTAGTTAATATACACATTCACGCCTCTGTGCACTTCCTTGATCCCGGAGAGAGTAAAAGAAAACTATTTTAGAATTATTATGAGCTGAGTAGAAAAGATCAAGGAAGGTCTTTCTATTTCACGATTATAAACAAACATTTTAAACCATCACCACGCATGACTTATGTTAATTTCTAGAAGATGGCAGTTAATTAAGACAAACATCTGAAATAGATTGAAATTAGATTTTTAAAATGTGCTAAGTTAATTATCAATCGCGTATCATTGTTGATTCATCAAAACAAAACATGTTTTAAATAGATCTCAAAACACCTTCAGCTGTAGTTCTATTTGCATTACATGATTATACTTGCCAAGTTTTAACTATGATCCTAACTATTTTAATTAACAGTTATATATTTTAAAAATGTATACCTCTATGCTCTTTTGTTAACTTTGACAGGAAGAGGTAATAAAAGGCTTTTCAAAATAATATGTTTGAAACTCGTTACAAAAGAATAGCTATGTTGTGACATTGTTCTATGAATTTCCTGTCTATATTATAATTTAAATATAAACATGAAAGGTAATTTTCACTTGATCACAACAATTTTATCCTACTCTTGAGTGTGAGTTTTAAAGGAAAATTTAGTGGAAATCTACCAATAATGTATTATTCCAGTGAAGCCATAACAATGAAATCATTAATCACAAGTGTTTGATGTACACAATGGAAATGATGTTGTCTTTTCATGCACCCAGTCCACTATGAATCTGTGTGTCTTCCCTATTACATTAAGTTAATGATTTAATAATTAAGTCTGATTAGATTTAATAATACATTACCCTGAGAATTAAAGTTTTTCAAAGCCTCCGGCAAATAAACTAAACTCAATGTTTCATAACTATAACGAGATTCTTTTACAGGTTTCTCCGTGGCATCCGGGATCCTATCCAAGGATACGTCTTTAAGGAACAAATCGATAAATCTTTGGTCTTTTTTGTTTAAGTCTTGTTTATCACTTTCCCAGTATGCCTTCATTGGCTCCGCTTCGGATGTCGTAGGAGGTGAAGTGACTTCCTCCGGGGTGTCGGGATTCTCCTCGGTATCCACTATCGCACGTCCCAACTTCAAGAGAAGGTTCAGCCCTTCCCTTTTTAAATTCACCATAAGTGATAAAAATCCCCGTTAGATATTTCACTCGGAAACACTATTCATCGGTTTGTATACGAGATGTTTTGCCCTGAAAATCAGTCAAGCAACCCACATTGAAGACACACAGATATATGAAATCGGCTAACATTCACAAGTAGCGACGTTAGTAAAGTATGAATGGACACTGTTAATTGTTTGTCTTCTACCCGAATTTATATTACGTTATCTTATCTGTTATGATTTGCGGTTTCACCAATTATTTACCAAAGCATTCCAAGGACTAAACTAGAAGCACATCGTTATTTCAGTCGCATTCGCGCGACTGACGGTCAGTCAGTTGCATAACCGTAGTTTAATTTAGTTAACGTTCAGTGCTTCGAGTTTTACCGAGAGGCCCGATGAAGCGGAATGGTTACAGGACGAGGCGGTCGATAAAAAGTCATATAGATCCTCAAATACTCACTGGATGCAGGTTTTTCCTCAACAATTTTAGGCTTTTCTAAACCACTAGTTGAATTTTCCACTTCCACACCTGGTTTAATCGCATCTGTAGATTTTATCACAGAAAAACCTCATGAAACGTGTCATTAAATATCCTCAATTTACAGGAACTATTGGGTATCCGAGCGATCGTTAGAATACCATCACATGAAAATGATTTCACTGCCGGTATACAAGGTGAGGCCGCTAAAACACGGCGCGACCGAGTACTAACCGAAGTTATAGTGAAATGAAATTCGAATTTCGAGACTAGTTGAACCGCCAATTGTCAAATTAGAGTGAGATAAACTATCGGACAATCACTGTAACGTGAGCGAGAAGACAGATTCACCACCCTCCACTGCGAAGCCATTCGGTGACGTCTCGGCGCCACGCCATCGACATCGGGCGTTTTCTGTCAATTAACCGCGATCCAGCTACGCCGAAATGTAAGCAAAAAGTATGCAAAATTGATTTCCGATAAATTATTTTAATTCATTTTCATTACGACTAATATCTTACATCGCATTAATTTTTTATAAAACATTAAGCAGTTTACATAAGAAATCAATATTGAAGGGCTAATCTTATCCTCGTGATATAAATAATCATATCTTTTAACTAATACGCAAGTTACGTGTATTAAGAAAACACTCATTCTTAAGATAAATCTTTTTTACTGTTATTGACTTTTTAAAGAAAGTAAATTGTGGCATTTAAATTTAATTTTACGCATTCTTAATATTGAAACAAAATGAAAAATGTAGTATTTGTTTTTTGGTTTCTTTTTGGTAACAAACAAACTGTGCTCAGGTGCATTAAGGTCGACATCGGAGTTGACGTGTGGATGCAAGCGTGGCGAGGCGGATCGCTCACGGATTGGTGGACTGAAAGGTGGCGTGATGTTGTGACGTCACTTTACCATCACCTTACTCGAAATAATTGCCGAATGGCGAGTTCAAACCATGTCCTATCCTACTTAGGGTGGCATTGTAGTTTCCTCTTATAAAACAATGAGTCATAATTGTTGCAGTGCGTATTAATATTTTTAAATTGCAAGCATCTGCATAACCTTTAAATAAGCAGAACTAATAATATACAGCGAGACAGGCCTACTTATGTTTTATTATTTTTAAATATTCGTAAGCTGGCTGTAGGTAGGATAATATTTCATGCGCCAATGCAAACCAAATGATGCTTTAAGTACGGTTGTACTGACTATATAAATAGTGAATTGTATGTATATAAATAGTGAATAGTGGCGTGACTTTAATATAAAAGGATAAGACTGTAATAAAATCAACAACATTTATAACAGCTGTTTTAGATATGCCATGCTAATTTGTTTATATCCATTGATCTATATAAGTAATTATTATGATTAAGAACGAAAGCGATAAGACTGGCCCATGTTAATCCGCTTCAAAAGAAACAATGAGTAATAACGGAGTAAACACCTATTGACAAGTAATCAGAAAGTAATCAAAATAATTTACGACTTTAAACGAGCAATCTGATATTGCGGCTAATCTTAGTTTGAGTACTAGGGAAGTTCAATTATATTATTATAGTTAAACATTACCATGTTTAAGTAATAAAGATTTACAAGTTGAATTGTCATCGATTATTTAAACTTCAAAAAAAAATGAACTCGGAAAACCGCACGCTAAATTAAATGCATTTCTTTTACTAATTTGACACTAAATTGTGTGCTTTTAGTGGGCTTTTAGAGTGCCTTATGTACTATTTTTATCATAACCCGCAATTTCAATGACGTAAAAAATATTCGCAGTAGGGCTCCTTTACTAGAAATCAAGAGTTAATTCTTTGTATAAATACAAAAGAGCTTAACCTCTTTCAAATTGATCAATGTGGGGAAAAGCGGCGCGGACGGACCATTAATATTCAAGGTACCTTCATAATATTTAAATAGTAAGTACTTTTGGCATGTACGCAATAAAGATTAAACTAATAACACGATGTTTATATTGATCGGTAAAAATGAGGCGATGTTTTTAGAACGTGACGAAGTAGAGTATCGTACGATGTCGCGTCATGGTGTGACGTCCTCCTACGTATCGCACTGAGCAGCTGTACTTCTACTCGGAATATTGGAATCACAAACAAGTTTTACTTAAAAAAGCTAACGCTATTAGTCATTGATGTTTTCGTTCGTGAATCACAGTTACCTTAAGGCCTAAGCATTCCAATTTAAACTAAAAATAGCAGACATTAAACAGTGAACAAAAAAAATAATTACTTAACAAATGGTTTTTTTATTTAAATTCGAAGTCGGTGCCAAGCAAACTGTACTAAAATACCTATCGAATTTATAAGTACACATATCCTATACACAAATCAAACTCCTTTTTTAAAAGTCCGTTAAAAATAGTAACTGTCGTTTATTTAGTAAAATTCTTAATGCGTGCGTATTGACTAGATAATGCACTACCGAACTACAAAATGAATAAGAACTACTAAGAACAACTTTCACATCCTTATTTCGTGTCCTTCATTGTAAAGAATATTATAATTTCACGATTCGGTAATGTTCTATTTACCATACTTATACTTAATACAGAAGACTCTTTTGTTATAGTATTACGATTATAATATACATATTTAAAAATACACGAAAACGTAAATTGACAGTTCACGTTTTTGTAATACATAGTGTAATTTTAAACTTAATATGCAATATAGGTTGAAACACGACAATACGATGACGCTCATTCGAAAAGTTTATTATTTTAAACATATTATTTATATGGCACGACTTTAAAAAAATAAATCTATGGTAATTTGAAATAAAAAAAAATGTCGTCGAGGCTCGAACAGGAATCCACAATGTTCTCACGGTATCTCAATTGGTTAGAGCAGTAGCACGAGACGTTATGGACGCCGGTTCAAGTTCCGCACGTGTCGTCAGTTTTTTTCAATCTAAATAGATTTTTCATTATAAAATTTATGGTTTGAAAAAGTTGATACGCTACATCATCACACAGATTCATGATGTAATCGCTGACATCAAAATAAAACAGCCGTGAACTAACATTCCGAATTAGCGTCACTGAGTCGAGGCAGATTCCACGAAGTCTAGATTTTTATCTTTTTTATGAATGCCTCAATAATGAGTTATGAGCAATGCAGTATATACGTACAGGTAATGTACTTGGAAACAATTTTCGGGCATTGTTGTTCGCAATACCTTGCGTCGTTGCTTTTTAATTGAATAAGATTACCGTTATATTAATCACCGAGCGGACAGTTTGACAAGGAAATTCATTTATCTTTCATCTGCCAAAATATTATAATGCTGCGCAAGCGCATACATCATTTGCATGGTATTGTTATTGTGTTCGTCTTCAACCGTAGGCAGTAGATCCTCAATTGGGTTCTGACGTACCAGACAATCAATTACAGCATGCCATTGACAATTATCGATTCCCTTTTTATCGAGCACATTCAATTGAACATTCCTGTTAGTAGTTTAATCGACAGTCGGCACCTACATATTTGAAAAGAACTATCTGGAACGTTTTTGGACTTTGTAATTTTATCGACAAGATCGATGTATATTACGTTAGGTACTGTCCAAAGATTTACACGTTGGCATGTTAGTACATATTCTGAAGTATTTTTACGTTGGTTACTATCAAATTGTACAGAAACCATAGAAGTGTCTGCAGTGACCAATATTTCGTAAGCCGAAACTCTAAACTTCTCTCTATTTGTGGTCATGGTTCCTATTGCAACCACGGTTGTAATAATGTTTATCGGGTCATATTTCATTCCGAAATAAAGGTACCGAATTGAAGGTGTGTTGTTTTCAAGAATGAGTAAAGAACAATACTGTAGACCTAATTTCTAAGTATTTTTTGCAATATGTCAATCACTCGCGCCCCGTATTGTAGTAATATCGAAGCACTACTTACTGTCTTCGACGCACATCTGGTTGTCTGGAAGGAGGCGCAGTCCAGTGGGGCATGCGCAGGACACTCGCGGCGAATGAGCTCCTATCCTCGGCGCAGGAAGACACAGGTGCGAGCAGTGTCCGTTGACGGCAGCGCAGTGGTTTACACCATCCGGTTGACGGTAGGGGTGGTACACGTGGATCACCATCGGGTTTTGAAGCTGGGTCGATGTGTGAAAAATTATTGATTTTAATTGTGTATCTGTCATAATTTCCTTTACGAAAACATATTTTAAGGTGTAGTATTATACAATATTGTCAATGTCTTTTTATGTATGTAACAATAATTAGTGTAACTGATTACTGTACAATTAAATGAAATAAAACAAAATATATCTTCATTCTAATCCAAATAATCATGCAGATAAAAACTTTACTGTTATATATTTTAAGTGTGTTGTAATTCGTTTAAATTAAAATAAAGATACACTTTCAATAAGCAAAACAGAGACATCATTACGATTATATTTAATTATATATCTTCATACTTCGCCGATTATTGAAGTTGCGAGTGACACCGGATTCTCTGTATCATGAACAGAGAAATGTATAGACATAACAAAGATAGTATTCACTGAATCCGTGTTCTGACTCTCGACCCCGTCATTAATTATTGTTTATTGCAGCGTAATTAAATCAATAAATGCTTGCAGCTCGGGCAATGATAAGGCCAGGATTACCCAACGCATGTTTATTATTGATTAGCTGACCCGACATCGTCGAACCGCCTTACCACTTATATTTAGGAGGTACGAAACACATGAACATTTCGTATAGAAGATGCGTTTCGTGTATTACGATGAGTAGTACTAGTACTAAAGAAGTGAAATTCTTATCCTCCCGGAATAACGTTTTTGTAGCAATTCCAAGCTGAATGTTTATACAAAATTGAATTTGACTATAATTAATTATAATAGATTTCCGTGTTTAATCCACAAAAACGAAACGCAATTATTATCCGATATAATCTAATGCAAAGAAATATAAAAATTAATGGCCATGGAAAATTTAAATATCCTTGCAATTCATAGTCCTCTATTTTATTCCATATTTTCTTAGTTAGTAAAAATTTATACGTATATTTACTAAAAGGCCGTTTATAGGAATCCGTAAAAGGTTAAACGGTATCTTACTTACAAAAGAATAGACTAGTGTCTTGTGTTTTATCACGATTTATAAACAGTCGATAGCTGAACAGAAGACGCAATTCTGTCGACCATATAACCCCCCCACACACAAAATGTGAGTTTTATGACAATAACACGGAACTTTTCGTCAACGAGCCCAACACGGCCTTTTTTTTCAAATTAAAGGGACCTCGAGTATTAATAGATAATTACGGGCTTCCATGTCACACTTACCGTGTGTGTAGCAGTAATGGCTTCGACATCTTTTCCATTGAATTTGTTGGCTCGGTAGACGGCCGTTTTGTCCCAATCGGTCCAGTAGACCCAATCCTCGAAGGTCGTGATGGAGAAGGGGTGGCGTAAAACATCAGTGGAGTACAGGACCACACGACGAGCCGAACCGTCGTAGTTGCAGGATGATATCGTGTTCAATTTTGCGTCGACCTGCAATTTTTAATATCATAGATTCCTTTTTCTTTATTTATCACAGAGGAGGACAGACAAGCAAGGGCTTCACTAAACGGCAAGTGAAATACCCAACCATAACGTATCTACACGATGATGATGAGATGCACTGGCCACTGATATTCGGGTATCCACAGACTGAAACTGAAATGCCACTAAACTTCACGGTTTACGGTTAGTAACCCGGAATGTGGGTGTTACTAAAACTAATTAGATCACCCTTTTAATATCCAGATTTTCACACGAAGTCCAACATATTTCAGAGAAAATATAAATTGGATAATTAAAAACATGTTGTACCCGTTGATCATTAGCCATAAATTGCTACCATTATACCAAAGAGCCCGATTCCTGTTAAGTGCTGGAAACTATATTAGTAGTAGACGATTTGAATGTGTGTTTTTCTAATTTGTTTCAAGCAGCAATGATGAATACATATTTAAATGATGATGAATATATATTAGAATAACATCTATACATTCCGTTTTGTAAAATTTATAATTTTATTTTATAAATCATCTCAGTTTTTCTCATTACACGAGCACGCCATAATATCGTGAAATTTTTACTTTATTTTCTTTGACGTCACTTTAAATAGACTAATGATCGTATAAATAGATAATTAAATCATCAAAATATTATTTAAAGTTTCTTCGCTAATATTGCGGTGCTGGAAACGTTATTATATATAAAGTAAACAATTTAATTATCCCTTTCAGTTTGACGCAAATTGAATTTAGCATTTAATTAATTTTAACAGTTATCTGTTATACTTATATTATCCAAAATACTTTGAAACAAGTTTACAAAGTAATGATACTAAAGTAGTTTTAAGGAAAATTACTTCTATTTATTTATAGTAAAATTAAAAACAATGATGTTTTGATTAAATTGGTTACTTTTTTCTAAAGAATGAATAAATAAAACTAGTGCGCTCTATATAAATGTAAGATAAGAGAAGAACTCTATAATGCACGGTCGGTGAAATTAAAAAGCCTACCCAGTAAACCCGTTTTCGCACTAAGTCCAGCGTCAGCCCATTCGGCCATTTGACGTCGTAGGACACAATGGTTTGTCTATGAGATCCGTCCATTCCGGCTCGTTCGATCTTTGGTGTTTGGCCCCAATCAGTCCAGTACATCCACCTGTTCAAAAGAAATATTAACATTTATACGACGCTTTGAAAACAGCCGGTCGAGTACTTTCTCAAGATAAGCGCGAGATCTACATTAAGACAGAATCGAATTGGGAAAAGTTGAAAACCTAAATATACCGTTTTTATTTTTTAGGAAAATTTTCAAAGTCGATAAATAATGCTTTTATTTGTCTTTATCGCGTTTTTATGGCATCAAAGTCATGCGAAGTTATTATCGTACGAAGCACGATAATTTTAATGGTAGCATTACTTTTACTCGCCATAAATCCTTAATATCTGGGACAATTATCATATATCTTATAATTTGGAAAATATAAAATTAGAGTCCGGTTCGGGTGTCAATAATTTTGAAATTATCATCCAAAATATTAAGGAATGGAAAAAAAATTAAATTAATAAATACATCCTATTTACAAATTAAACCTTAACTGTAGTTTTTGTTAATCGACCTGATATAAACGAACATTAATTCAATTAGTTTTTAATCTTAACTCTCAATATTATCTTATATGACTTTGATAAATAATTTGACTAAGTACGTCAGTGTTCCAGTTTTTGCTAACGATTTCAAATTAATTGGGCAATTAATTACATAGAAATCAAGTTGAATTCAAAATGTTTATAAGTAGTCAGGACCACAAAATTCCTTTAAATATAATGTTTTTTCTTTCTATTTAGGTAAACAGACTTATTGCATTTTTAGAACTTTTTCTACTCATATTAAGTCTTTATTACCGCTGTCAAAAAAGCGTCATAGAGCGATATAATAAATTGTTTATGTAGTATGTATGTGCTTAATCAAGACGGAGGGTAGATTCTCTAAAATAACGTAGATTATCTCTTAGTATATAAAAGAAATAGTTTAGTGTTATTTTATGTCTTGGTGTAGAAATTAGTCTACTTTGTATTTGCGAACATAACGACGTTTTAAAATAAGGGAACGGATGCGTCGTAGGCGTACTACCAAATACAGGGTGTCCCAAGAAGTAGTGTCAGCGGAAGTCCAAGATAGAACACTTAGCATCCGAAACATCCCCATGTATTGCGTTTTAGTTTTCGAGTTACGAATTTTTTCTAAAATTTTGAGAATTTTTGACCTAAACAACTAAAACGCTAATTTACAAAAAGTGATAAGACTTTTTCTAGATTTTTTTTTCAAGCTTAACAAGCAAGATTAATAATTAAAACATTTGTCTTCTTGTGAACTGCGTCTTAAAATTTCAACTTTAAATTGAGGTAAAATCTTAATAGGTTTTGTAGTCATAAGTTGGTTTAAAAACTGCGCCAGGACTCTCAGCTTTCATTATCATTAAAAAAAAAGGACTACGTAATACGCTACTTTTGCTAATACCGGACCTCAAAGCAGATAGGTGTAAAAATTAATACAACCGCCAACAGCACGAAAGGTCATGGTAGTAGATTCGAGTCCTGTACCTGACATTGATTAGTTTTAATTTAAATAGATTTTTCGTTTATAGAAGCTATAATGTGCAATAAAATTAGTTCTGGTTTAGAAGTAAAAAACTGAGATTACCCATCAAGCGGATTCAGCGCAATTGCTCTTGGCTCTTCAAGCTTATCCTTGATGAGTACCTTCCTCATATTGCCCTGCAGGTCGGAGAGTTCGATGTGGTTCTTCCCCGTGTCCGTCCAGTACAGATGGTTGTAGATCCAGTCCACTGCCAGGCCATCTGATGTTATCAGTTGATCGCCTATCACCACTGTTCGTTGACTTCCTTCATCGATCGGTGCCCTGTAGACATTTATTAATTGTTTGTATACTTCACGTGGATTTATAACGCCTTCACTGCAGTGCATTTCTCTACAAGGTGTATAATAACTAACTAATAAACAGTATTTAGATAAACTCTTCTGTGCATACGTAAGATTAGGGTTCCTAAGCAAAGTGAGCACGGAAGTAACGTATGCTTGTTCTGAAGGCTAATGGGGTAAGTAAATATAGCATAAAAGCACAAGCAGATTAACCGTAACTTGACCATTGATTGTCCAGTGATACTAGTCAAGACGATGGTAATTAGGCAAAAAAAGGTACTTTATAAAACACAACAATTATCTACGTGATAGTGTATAAAAGTAATAATGTAAAAGACGACGTTTTACCAAGAATTAAATATGATAAATTAATACTATATTTCCATCCTAAATAGCACAGGATGTAATAAATTTCCGTAATTGTTTTGTTGTTTTCGTAATATTGTAATTTATTGGCATCGCTGCATAGTTTCGGTGTTAATGAGTAAAAGCTTTTTATTTCACGCTCAGTTCACCAAAGCGCCCCACACCAATTTTTTCAAGCTTTTAATGTTTACTAATGGAGATAGGCCAATAAATAGAAAAATGTCCAAGTGCCATTCGGGCTCGAGCAAGGAGGTTTCCCATCTTAATGGCTATTGAGGTTCTTGAGACTGCTGTCTGTCACCAGCCCACCGGTCACATCCCATTTGGATTCGGAAGACTAAAACCTAGCCTGCCTACCTAACATTATTATAATTTCTATGAAGATATTGCAATTCGTATTTGTGGGTTGATATAGAACTCACTTATATATCTTCTCATCTGTGACGTCACTCCAGAAGATCATGCCCGTTCTGAACACGTAGTCGAGGGCGGTGGCCGACTTTGTATCGTTGACGATCGCTACCATCTCGTGGTGATCCAGGCTAATCTTTCTGATGTCGAAGCGTCTAGCGAAGAGGAGAGACGGGTGACCCTCCGTGGCCTTGCAACGTGTTCGGTCTCGTGGGTCTCTCGCGTAGCCGGCGTGACACTCGCATTTGAAGGTCCCCTTTTCGTTGATACACATTTGAGAGCACGCGCCAGGGTCGACGCACTCATCCACATCTATAAAAAGTATAAAATATTTATATGAGTTATATAGGCATTGCGGTATTAGATAAAACACTATTATCACACTCTGTTATGATATTTATTTCTATGTGCATTTTGGCTTGCTTTTTTATAAATTTAAACTGTAATCAATCTTTATTTATTTCTATGGTCTTTGTAAAAATAAAAATAATCAAGTCGTGGACATCGAAAATAATTTTTAATTTGTTGCCATAAATTTGATTTCTCTGTTTTTCTGTCGGTGTCTGTATATTTTATGCTAGACAAATTTAAGTGTTAAAACGCAAAAAAAATTGAAATTTAGAAGAATTGCTATTTTGGTATATACACCTCGCCGACTTTATTTTAAACAAAGTAAACATTTTTTGTCACATTAAAACCTACTGAATATCGCAAAACATTCATAAATAAAACAATATAAAATCGAATTCTAAAGAGCGTTTAGTCGAAAAAACAACATTCGTTAAACTAATCTCCAAAGTTGAACAATGTAGACTAACTCGTTAGTCAATCCTGTTTTTTCGGACTCTCAACATTTACACTGTCCCTAATGCCAATTACCGCCGAGAGCTTGCCCCTCCGCCCCGAGGGGCACTACAGTGTTTTTCTAAGCCCTAGGTCGTATAGAAAATACAAACGTGACTGTTCTCTGACGCCTTATGTTTGAGCTTTTGTCGTTTAAAGGGCGGTAAAAGTGTTTAAGGTAATGCTCTAATGTTTAACCGATGACACAAGTGGGACGCGATTCCAAACACTTCGTTGGTCTAGCGACAGTGCTATTTAATCACCGTTTGTGTACCTACAGGGATTTCGATGTTTTCAAATTTGTATGAATATCGTCTTTCACACTACTGGTTGAATTATAAACTGCGAACTTATACAGTAAAAACCATAACTGATGCAATATATTTCAGATAATATGAGAGTAGGAAGAAGCAGCGTAGGAATAAAACGGGTTCCTTTACGACGGACGGAATATCCAAGTTTTGAAATTATTTCGATAGCGAGGGTGCGGAAGGGAGGGTTACTTTCACGCACCTCGTATATCGGTGAAAAATGAGATTACATTACGTAAATGCGTACGAGTACTTACAGCACGTTTAGTAGTGGTAACAGAATGGATTTCAGTGCAAAAGAAATCGTTTGTATTACTAGGAGGGTGGTCAAACGTGTGGTTCATTGGAGGTTAAAATAACCCACCCACGATGGATTTGAACATTGGAAAATCCAAAAAAGAAAAAACGCAGGTGTTAGGAACTCTGCTTGTATTTCGATATTCCAACCTTAAGATCCAAAGTTTGCAGACGAAGTCAAGCATGTTTCATAAAATTCATGTTAGTAACATGCTGTACCTTGGAATCGAAGCCACAACCGATCGATTATAATTGGCTATACATTCTTATCTTTTTTACTTTTATAGTAATTGATGAAATGTTGTAGATGAAAGGATTTTTTTCACCCACTGTGCAATTGGCGCGCCATATCTTATGATCTAGGGATTAAAAAGTTGTCTGCTCACCCTCGCAAGTCCTGTTATCCACGAGCTTGTACCCCTTATCGCAGTCGCAATAATACCCGACTGGGGTATTAACGCACTTCTGGGTACATCCGCCATTGTTCTTCGCGCACTCGTCTTCTCCACACCTGTCCTTGGGCTCGTCTTCGAAGTTGGGACAATCGGGTTTACCGTCGCACAGTTTTGACATCGGTATGCACATGCCGTCACCGCAATCGAACTCGGTCTTTTTGTCACATATTGGTTTCGGCTTTGCTGAAAATTATATTTCATTCATTAGTTAACTAATAATAAAATGTTTTCTTACAATAAAACATCTATGAAGGCTCTATGGCACACTGCGTGTAACGTAATAAATAAATATACGGAAACCTGAAAAAACACTTATGACTTGAGAATGGTCGATATAGTTGCATTGACGGTTGACAGACTGTCATTGAGAGTCATGATGTTATTGACACGAATGTTATTGACAACTTGTTGTTTTGAAATAACGTCGAGTAAGTGCGGACTTTTGGTGTAGGGAGACTGTCTCGTGCCCGGCAGGTACTCTGGTTCCAATCGAAAAGCGATTGAATCTTGTTCAAAGTCAATAGTAGTCACGAACGGTCGATTTGCGTTATAAGCCACTGCCGTTCGTATTTATCTTACTACTAAAAGTAATCCCGTTTGGATAGATTCAATCTTTGCGTATTTTGTATTAATTCGTTTTATATCTAAATAGTCTTTTGTTCTGTACGAAGAATACTCATAGCGTCTGTTGCGGATATTTCATCGGGCCGTGCTACGGAGCTTTGTCACATACGTACAATTATTTTTCAGATTGCAAGTCACTTAACTAAATTGGCGACAGCGGTCAATTAAGTACGATATCATTTGTAGTAGTATAATTAAAATATTATAATTGATTTTAATCCTCGTGTGAAAAAAATATATACTAATTATGAAATCGCTTTCAACCTTCAACAAATTGCGTATTTAAATTATTAATATCGTAATATTGATTAGATATTAATGTGGTACTAATCCCCATTCATAAAAAGACCACCAGTATCGGACAATAATACTTTAAGCATTCCCTAATCAGGTATTAACGTGTAGTAAAGCATTATGATTTGATTAATCTTATCGATTGTTCTTTGTACTGTGTGATAAATATTAAGCAGTAATTTCCGTTTTATAACATTCACCCTTGTCTATTTTGGTGCACATCAATGGCTTTATAAATAACTATTTCGATATTACTTTAACTGTTACACAAGCAAACAACATACATACAACATAAGCTACATAATAACATAAGCTAAATAAAGTTATTAAAGTTATTATTATATATTGCATCCCTTTTATTTAAATGCCAATAATACTATTTTACGGCAATTTTAACAATGGAATCAAGTAAACGTTGCATGTTCCAGTATGCAGCCTCAGTCTACACTTCTTCATGTTGAGAATACTTACTGCAATTGATCTCATCGCTGCCGTCGGGGCAATCCTTCTCGCCGTTGCAATAGAGCGCGCCTGGGATGCAGCTGTGGTCCTTGCATTGGAACTGGTCGAGGCGGCACGTGATGTTTCCTCTGCAAATGCTCGGAGATTCGTCCCCACCGTCGGGACAGTCGCGGTCGCCGTCGCACACCCAAGCCTTGTGGACGCACGTCATGCGGTCGTGGCATTCAAACTCGGTGGCTATACATGGTGATGTCACTTTTGGCGTCGACGCACAACCCTGGAAAGTAAACGACAATAGCATTAAAACTTAAATATTTTGTATGTTTGATAAACATTAATATTTTTCACATGTTATTGCACATGAAGGCACTATATAATTTAAAAATCCTGCCCGAGTCGAAAATTTTTTCAATTTATTTTCGATTTTTAAATTATTTTGTATGTTTGATTAAAAGCTAAGCGTTTGCGTCTTTTAAGTTAAGTTTATTTTTGTTTTAACTTCTATAATTATCTCAAGATATGATCAAAGAGAATGATAGATTCAGCTAAGTTATTTAGCTTTTATTAACACCGATTTAATTGCTTGCTTGGAAAGTAAAATAATAATTGATCGAATAAATTAAAATGTAAAATGAGTTATATTGGCATTAATATGTTATTACATATAGAATTAATATTCTTACTACTTATATAAGTATGCAAAAATAGTACTTTGCTATAAGTTTTATACGCATTTTAAAAAACACAAGCTGTCAGTATCGTGATTGTATAAAATAAACTTTAAGCTTGAATTATTACCACAAATAATATTGAAATAACCAAATTATTCTCCTCTATACAATTCAGTTTAGTCACCAATCAATTACGTATTCATTATGAGGTTAAGCCACGACCAGACATTAGTTAGAGATGCATCATTTAATTATCTTTATCTCTGCTCTTATTAAAAGTTTTTAAGTAACCAAAGCACGTTATCTTCACTGCTCAGGGGAAAAAACGCTATATTCAATGTTATATATTACATATTCGCATTTATCATAAAATACTGGTACGTAACCTAAGCTAATCAACTAAAGTTATTTATAAAGATTTTTTGTAGATCGAAGTTTTAATTTGAATCGAAATGTAGTAATGCTGACAGTGAAATTTAATACCTAGCCCAAGTGGAGTCGACTCGATCTCGTGTATATTTACCGACGGCGATTGCGTAAAAGCGATATGTTGCAGATATTGCCAATATCAAGCTGTACTGTCCAACGTTTGCGTAATTTTTGCAGTTAAAACGGTATATTCTCGTGACAAATGAAAATTTTTACAACTTTTTTTTATGGCTAGTTTAATTGACGTTCTGCGATGTAAGCGCCAAGCTTTTTTAAACACATGACAAATAATAAAAAGTGTAATTGTTGAAGTATAATTTCGTGTAATTCGCTTATATTGTCCTAAACAATCTAGTAGATTAGAAAATAGGCTCAGGGTTTCTTCAAGTTAAATCTATACTAATATATAGAGCTGAAGAGATTTTTGTTTGTTTGACGCGCTGATCTCAGAAACTACCGGTGGGAAATAAAACATGTTTAAGTGTCGATTAGAGCATTTATCGAGGAAGGCTATAAATATACAACATTGGGTTGCGACTAGTGGGAACCAAGAAACAGCGGGAAATTATTTATCTTTGTGGGCTTCCGTAGCGTACGCTGTGAAAACAATTCAAGACATCCAACGGTAAAACATGTATGAAAATTGATTCCTCTATAAATGATCGAAAAAAAAATCCCGGGACACTATATGTCTATCTTTTAAGATTAACGTGCAAGACAGGCGGTAGGCGACCGAGATAACACGACGGCGTGGGTAACAGCTTAAATCTATGAAGATAAAGAGGAGGTTTGCAAAAATAAATATTGGGGCCCAACATAGCGCATAATTAATTATTGCTTCTGACGCGGCTTTAAATACGCTTAATGACAGTTTATTTCGTATACACAATTAATATTTTTATGTAATCAAATAAAGATCTAGTTTTTATTTGTAAATATATCTAAAATTTAGCATCTACTCACAGTGGGCGATGTTGTCTAATACAAATACTAAACCCTTCTAAGCCGTTACGTAGCTTATTCTGCACCATTTAAGTTGCACTTAAGTGCATTAACTCTCGAGCAATGTGCTTAAGTACTTTCTATGAACGTATATTTAGAGCAATAAAAGCTGCACTGAATAATATATTATTCCCGTGTTATTTAACCGCGACTATGGAACTACTGAGTATGTCAGTGTCAAATGTCAGTTTACAAAATGCATATACGAGTATGTTCTCATTGAACTTATCAGCTTCTGCTATTGCTGCTGGACAAACCAACTATTTTATTTATTAATTCTTTATTGCAACACACACGAATATAATAGAATTCCAGCAGTATATCAAAAGTTACGTGATCAGAAATCTTTGTTTAAAATTTTGTTAATATGTTCTGTCTATTAGTTAGTTGAATAGAAAATAGGAAAACCATTTCGGAAAAGTAAACGCTTGAATATTTCCATTTTTCCCCTCACCTTTCATAAATTAATGACTTTTAAGAATGGTACATACCATTTCATCACTTCCGTCGGGGCAGTCCACGTCGCCATCGCAGCGCCACCTCGCGGATACACAATGGCCGTCAGAGCAGGAAAAGTGACTTATCGGCTGACACGTCGGAGCCGGACACTTTACCTCGTCCGTTCCATCGCCACAGTCATCGTCGCCGTCGCACACCCATCTTTGCTGTATGCACTTTCCATTACCGCAAGTAAACTCATCAGAACGGCAGGTCTCATCTAAATGTAATAAAATACTTTTAGTTTTACACGGCACTGAAGCTGAAATAAAATTACAGCAATTACCTTAGTGAAAGAGGACGTTTAAGTGCTTCATAAATAATTCTTAATTAGTTCAAAGAGCGAGACTAATTTGAAGAAAGTGCTGGCAAACAGACGTAGGCATTGTTAAAACGCTCCGCAGGCACGCCTCAAGTGGCCGAGTAATGAACGCGAGGAAATAAGAATAGTCCGCAGGTTGGATAATGAGAAAACGCGGGAGAACGATCACAAACAATCTAGCTCTGAAACGCTATCAGACACGTTTGTTATTAATACTCGACTAGCTGCCACTGCTAGTCCTACAAATCTCGTGAGCGTAATGGTCTCCGAGAAAAATCATCTCCACTACTCTCGGACGTGGGTTCTCCTCCGTTTAATTAAATTCCTTTGTTCTCTTGAGGAGCATACTTATCAAGTCTGTTCATGATTAGCTAAGTTCTTATTTTTCCTTTCCTTCCCTTTACAAAGAGGCAAGATCGGAATGAAGTGTAATACACGGTTGCACTGAATTTATTCTAGAAAATTCTGTACTCGGTTAAGTTTATAACTTGCCGCAGTGTGGATTGGTAAATCGTTGTGAGGAAAACTTTGGCTATCTAGAAGAGAGAATTAAAAAACGAATTTACGAAGACCGTAACCAAATTTGCTCGGTCATCGTTCAATTCCCAGCTCCTCTGGGTCGGGAAGATAAGTATTCCAAGACGGATAGGGTGTCGATAGAATACCGAGGCTTCGATCGGCAACCCCAATGATTGATTATGGTTTGCCAAAAACTGAACGTAGCGTATTCTTACACCGCCCTTCCCCGATATTTGCCCGATATTGTTATTAATAATAATAAAAGTATACAGCAACCAACCGACCGTTGTAAATGGTGTAGTTTCGTTTCTCCGCATAATGTAAAACGTTTAAAAAAAGATAGTTAAACAATTAATAAAAAGAATAAAATAAGAATTTTATTTACTAGACATATCACATGGAAATTCATACGAATGCGACTCATGTCGACAGGAACAACATTCGATAAAACATAATAATGACGCGGCTCAGAAAAGGATATTATATCGTTTGAAGTGGTAAAGAACGTACGCAGCATTGATCGAAAGCTTTATGGGGGCAATCCGATGGGAGCGTTATATTTGAAAGCAGAATTTAATACCGCAACCTAAAATTGGTATGGCCCTCAAATATGAGGCTAATGTAGGAAATATTACAATCTACGACATAATGTCAAATAATTTTCACGTTCATCCTAAAGGAATTTAAATAATTGAGCTCTTTGAACTAATTAATTATGATAGATAAATTAAATGTTAACCTGTGCGGTTAATGAGTACGAAGGTCGGCTTCATGCAGTATCGCCAATTATGCATTATCATGAAGTGGAGTTGAGGCAAATCAACCGATGTATCGATGTTAGAATCATCCAAGTGCGTAATTGTGTGCGTGATGATCATTTGCATGAGTTTCGGATATGTAAGTATAATTTCAATGTAAAATAGTTGTCAGTCATGGAAGAGTAAGATAAAAATAGAGCAAATGTAAGTACAAGGGTAAGTCACTTGCTCTAACAGTTCGTATTCCTACTTGGGTTTTTAAGCAAGTCGAGTCAAATTTCCTAATTATATCATGCAACCCTGATGGCGAAACCTCAAGAAATATTTTTAAATTACAACGGCCGGACAACTCGAAAACCCAAGTAGCTTTACGAGAGGGCTGCGAAAGCCTTATACAATTAATAGCTTATGTTCCATTATAATGAGTGCCTTACTGCATGCTTTCTCATCTGAGCCATCAGTACAGTCGAGGTTGTCATCGCACATCCATGTGAGAGGAACGCATTCGCCTTGTGCACCTCTGCAAGTGAACTCTTCCGGTCCGCACACCTCCACTTCTGTTAACCCAAGATCATGCGCATGCTCATTTTAATGAATGATATCTACTAAGTGCTACTTAAGGAGACACAGTAGTACTCAGCATCTAATACGAGGCGAAATATTCCTATCGAACTATATTTGGTTCTTACTTTAAAGGAATTGCTTAAACCTTCAGAAAATGCTAGCAAATATACGTGACTAAAACCGTTTTGCAGCAGAAGCCGGCGCCTCAATATTCTAATTTTGAAATGAATTGAATTTATCTGCAAACGCTGCGACAAAATTCATTTGTCAGCGACCATAAGATACGTAATAACTGGCGGAAATTGAATTTTCCCATTCAACTTATTCAAGTTAAAAATTCATTGAAATTTTTTAGCTGACTAAACAAATTCATTTAGCGAGTATTAAATTTTACAGCCCTTAAAATGCGGCCTGAAGTGGGCGCCCAAATTCTAATTACTCAGTTTTTTCTTACTGCTTCCTTATTCCGTTTTGCAATTTGAGAGGGACCCTCGGCCGGACGGTCGAGAAAGGTTTTTGTTTCTGAATTCGTGGTCCCTCCACCGAGAACGTGTGTTGATATGATAATGATACCGATACGATCGTGTGCCCATGCGCAATGATACCCATGCCGATTCGTTCCACCGGGGTCTTACCGCAATTGTGTTCGTCCGATCCGTCCGGGCAATCCGGAGAGTCGTCACATTGCCAGGATCCGGGAATACAATGTCCCGTTGCACACACAAAATTGTGTACCGTGCAATTCCGCTGTGGGTCTGTATTTTAAAATGCTTTGTACTTTTTATACCAAAACTAAAGAGAATTTTTGTAATAGATAATTCTGAATTTGAACTTCTACAGTGCACCCGCCTTTTAAAGCTTTTCTGACAACTTTGAGGTATAATAGGATCCATTTATTGTTGTTGCCCAGTTTATATTAAAAAAGAATAAGGTTTTATTTGCTAAATGTATATTTCAAACAGGTTAATAAATGCTTTACTTGAACACAAGCGACAGTGGGTCGTAATTAATGACGCTAAATACTCCTTATTTCGGCTATAACGCCGTTTCACGTTGGATCTAACGAGGCGAATAAACTTGGCTTTAATATTGTTGCACAGCTATTGTTTAACACCTTTACACTGTGCTATTATTACTTCTAAACAGATTTATAGATACGAGGCAGCGTTCATACTCGTTTTAATACTTTAACGCCTAAAATGAACGACGAATCGAAATTTAAACATGGAGGAATTTAAAAACCTTTAAAAACACATTCAATCGCCAGTATTTGAAATCGAAAATAACTCTTGGTCAGTAAGTAGACCTCCATAATCATAACAAAAGTACCTGCATAATGAAAATATTGTTAAGAATGAACAAAATAGGTCAAATGCGATTGAATTCCGGGGCCTTACTTTATTATGCCTATGAATTCTACTTGGTACAATAGCTACACGTTCACATGATGCATAGTCATCGTCTCAACAATCTTCTGTCAAACCTCCGCTAAGCCAATTGAGGTTTGCGCGTAGTTTATGTTTGCGTTTGTGGAAGCCTACAAAACATTGCTTACACTGGGTCATATAAAAAGCTTTTCCATTATGTTGGGTCGACTTACAGCGGCAGTAAGTGTACAAAGTTGCGGTCTACACGATCCCGTTGAAATAAAATCTTACGGTCTCAGCTTTATACTTATTGTTACAGTTACTTGCGAGCAGTTTTATTCGTTTCACAAGAGCTTTCTTACAAATTAATTGAAGTTAGTCTCGAAAGTTGTGTTTTAATTAAGAGTGTTCTTAAAGAAATCCTACATGAAGGACACTTAAATTATTTCTTTTTACTTATGGCGTAGGAAACAAAAATTTACAGATATAAAATATTTAATTAAGTTGTGTTGTTGACTTATTTTAACCATAAATATTTGGCAATCCGCATATTGAAACCGAAATGCGGGTTGTCGACTTTTTCAGGTATTAGCAGTGGTTCGTGTGACCCGGGTATAATCTTAATATTCCTACCACTCACATTTACTAGACTATTCGATTTTATAAAGTTATGTAGAAACGCATTCGTAACGATGGTAATGGTATCCGCGCCCAACACCTTTGCCCACGCGTCTCATCAACGGCCCATTAGAATATTATAAAATAAACCCAAAAATAGACATGGAAAAAAACATTACCTCTATACTAATATAATACAATCAATATTCATGAACGACATCCGACTCCAATTTTACGGATCATGGCGTTCGAGTGACCTTTAAAGAGTTATAACTGAGAGAAAAATGGTATCGAAGATAAGATTATCGGATTAAAGTTAAAAAGCTAGGATTGAGTTTATCATACTTAGTGCTTTTAGATATAACCAAAGACCTGTGAAGGTGAAGAAGGTGAAGTATGTATTCCTTCGATTAATACCAGGTGGCAGAGTCACACAGGCTATAACACAGGCAAGCACAGCACGCGCTTCATTAAACCACGCCTAAACAGTAAATAAATTAAAAGCAACGTGAAAACCGTAAACTCATACCCGCCCCGGATTAAATACCTCCACGAACCCCAAAATTTGCCGTGATGCTATTTTCTCATTACGGGTTCCCTTAAATTGTCTCAAAAACCGCATTCTGTGTGTTCAATAGAGTCCAAATTTTCAATTCATAACGAAAGAAGTTTCGCGAAGGGCGAGAGATTATATTAATCCAGGAAACTTCACATCGTGATTCAGATTTTAATCCGCGTCGGAGGCCGCGTGAAAGACAAAATAGGCTCTCGCCTTTTCAAACTTTTTCCATAAATCGTTGATAATTTTATTTTGGGCTCATTGAAAGTTTCTGATTATTAGTCCAGAAAGTAATCTTTCTACCCTAATACGTACGTACGCTTGCTTCCGCGAAAATCGAATTTATAATTGGTCGCGGTGGAAAGAAACGGAGGATGGATCGAAGTAAGAAAGAGCGGATCCTATTACCCTGTTTTTGTCACCTGCCAAACCCGCTTCCTAAGAAATAAAATATATAAAGCAACATTCGTATACATACAAAGAACGGCGTACCTTTTCAACTTTGACTGATGTCTTATAAGGATAACTCGTCCTTTTCTAATGATAAAAATAAATGTTATAGAAACTTTTATTAACGCAACAAAAAGTCGCTTATTTGGTACTGATAACAAAACAAATCGTCGCTCGTGGAAGCAAACGTCGCTAGTAAATATTTATGAATGTAGGAAAAATATACGAGTATTCAAACAGTATGAAAAGACGTAAAATAAACGGGACGGGGAATAAATTGTGAAACTTTATCGTCCCTCTTCCGTACACATTGTGAATACGGTATTTTTGGTAACGAAGTTATTGAAATTACTATTCGAATGGCTTTTATATAAATCCAACGATTTGTTATTGATGGAAATTTTCAAGACCCACCAAATTTTCAAACCGTCGCTGCATCGCTCGTCGATCAGTGCAGAAATTGCTTTCAGCCGTTCGACTTGGCAGCCCCTTTATATTATTATAAAATTGTCACTTAAAGTATACAAGAGTTTCATATTAAATTGTAATTTGGATATGAAATGAACAAATTCTTTGCTTACTGCAAGTTCCCGGTTCTTCGTCGGAGCCGTCTGAACAGTCCTTTTCATTGTCGCATCTCCACGACATCGGTATGCAGCGGCCCGTCTTGCATCTGAATTCACCAGATGTGCACGTACGGCTCTCTGTAAAATAGATTATCAGAAATGAGTCGAAGATTTTACTTGAAATACTTTACACACTTTAAAGAGAGAACAAATAAATCGACGAATGAATGTGTGTCGACCCCATAACCTACGAAAGGGATTTCACTTTTATTACAAAATTGTCAGGGAAGAAAACGCTACAGAGGCAATATGCGGCTTGCTACGCCACTTCTGTTTACGATCGAAGCCACGGCCTATCACGTCATAAAACAGTGGCTGTGATATTACCGCCCGGTTAACTTATAAGGTGATTCACGCGACAAAGAGCCATTTGTAAGCAAAGCGTACATCCGACGAATCATACCCCAGAAACCCTTGTAATAAATTCAAGTAAACCCTCCGAGATTTCCTATCATATAACGCGCATATATTTTAGGTGGAGTCGTCTCCTAATTATATTCTTGTTACATAGCGATGAAATAACCTAGGCGCTCGAGTTAAGAGGAATGTTCTCTTTTAATATTGTGTCTTAGGGTAGACGTCAACGATTTCAATAAAATTCTATAACAGAGGGGGTTATGTAATATTTGTTGGAGGCCTAAAATAATAATCCCCCATGAGGGAGAATGTTTTGAAGGTATTTAAAATAGTATGCCAAGAGGTATACTCTTTTAAATACCATCAAAACAGTGTTCACATTAACAAGATATAATAAATGACAAAAATATCTTAAACTCTCACTTTTTAAATAAATTTCTCCTGATTTCGCAATTGTCTTGATAATCCTTGTATAAATCTCTATCCAACAGTGAATTTGCAAAATCATATTTAATTAGGAGATATAGAGGGTGTAATTACTTATAACTAGCTAAGCAATAATCAGAAGGATGTTATCGGGTTTTATATCCAAAAGTATACGTTACATATAGCTTGAACAGACAGCACGAACAATGCACGTAGATCAGAGATAGCTGGCAGTTAATTAATCCGTGGGATAGGGTCCCATTACATTGGAATGGTAAATGGCGAACGCCAGCTAGGGTTCGTATTGACACAATCATTGGTATACGATTATTATGAGATTTCTCAAAAACGGGGACTAACATATATGAAATCATGAGGTCGCATGAGGGCACATGAGGTCCTTCATCATCCCCAAGAGCTATTATAGTTTCACAATTAGGCGATGACCTGTGCACTGTCAACCTCATTATGAAAAGAAAACAAAGAAAGGTGTAGCCACACCTTACTTTATCCTAATAAAACGTTTAACCTAATTAGCTAAAGCATTTACATTCTTGTTTTGAGTATGTGTAATACGATACGCCGTATAATTTACAGTCTAAACAATAAGCCTCAGGTGAATTGTAAATAACATACGAAAGACAGAATCTAATTACCACGCATGTTTTCTTAACATTAACTCGCAATTGTTTTAGGATAACAGGCAGAAAAAAACACGGAAAAAGACTTTCTCTCCTAAACAGCGTTTCACGAAAATGTTTGCTTCTTATGTCGAACGCAATGGACTTTTTATGTCGACTTCAAAGGAATAAGCTGGGAAAGTAGTGCTATTTTAGGACTAATGCCTTTGCCGAAAGTATAGGCGAAAAATGTACCCTCAGTGTATGGTTAATCTAGTGAACGGGTTAATATTTATATGATTAATCTACACGTACTGAAATAGATCAGATTATTCACTTCAAAAACAACATAAAACCAATACCAAAGTCGATAGAAACTGCATTCATTTTTTATCAAACTCGTTTGTAGTTTTGTAAATTCACGAGCGATTCACGACCTGGCGAAACGCGTACAAATCGCTTTCAATTAAGGGCCAGTGCAAATTCGAGGAATGCCCCACACTCCTCGTAGCAGACGCATTAGGCCAAATTGTCCCCAAGACAGCAATAGCCTCGAAGCAGGAATTGTATTACTCGCAGGCGATGGCTATGAGTGCATTCGTTACCGCCTAACGGGGGAGCGCACTTGCATATGCACTCACAGCATACAATATATTTTGCTCCGACACAAGTATATTATGTATAGGCAACTACAGTGCTTTGTCCTGGACGACTAACTGATAGAGTGATGGATCTAGACAGAAGCTAAGTCATTCTTCTGCCATGAAAATCAGAGGACTAAGTTGATGTGAACCTATTGACTTTTACATTTACTTATTAGCTATGCCTATGTAATCCTTAGTCTCATTTGCCGAACGATACACGCGGGTAGAATTATAAAAATAATGTTGATTTGTATAGTGTTCTCAAGTAAGTGATCTTGTGTCTTTTTTGAGAAATACGTGACCATCTAATGACAGTGCAGGTAATAGGGGGTAATAGTGCGGGGGGACGTTCCAGACCTATATATTCTGCTCTTATCTTACGAAATGTGCCAATCTTGTTAAACTTTTGCACGGCACCTACAAACTTAGGTATGGAGATGAGATGCAACAGCAAATATTGCAATTACACGCCCCGAACAAGAGTCGTTCCATAACTTTGTCTTGCAAGATTGCGCTTATTTTGTTGTTCCATTTTACTATAAAACAAAGTTGTTTTTAATCCGTCGTGGGAAATGTTCCGAGCAAAGTCGGTCTGCTGAAATTTCGACTGACGACGGAGTAATTAACTTATAACAGAGTGAAGTGATTGTTGTATATTTTTCATTTCAGCGGATGAAACATTTTAATTTGTTAAAATGTAAACGGAAAACGGCTTTGGCATTCTCATTGGTCTAATGGAAGCGATGCGATGGTGGTAATCGGCGGGTCGTGGGTTCGTTCCTCACCGGGTTTAACAATGTATAATTCGTGCGAAAAAAGTCGTTTGGAAAACTGTATATTAAGTAAATACCAGACATTAATGGTAGTCCAGGTTAAGATAAAAAAGAGTATAAAGTTCCGGTTTCAGTCTGTGGATTAACAATTACGATTACGATTTACGAATTTGCCGAAGCCAAAATAGGTCGACAGCACATCTTATGAAGGTATTTTACATTTCATCAAGAGAGCTCCACGCTTATCTGTTCTCCTCTACAATAAAAAAATAAGGATTTTACGATAAAAGCTCCGGTCTAGACAGAGGTTCTTCACGTTTAAGTTCGGTCTCTCTTCAATACTTTTATGACACTCCACTAACACAGACGAGGTATTTACTTCGAGCATTTATGACTGTTTCCCTATAACTTTACGATTGGATTTCACTAATTACATTCCTAGAACAATTTCGAAACATTACGGATGGAGCGTCGAACGGCGTAGTTATGAACGTTACTCGATCAGTCAAATACATGCTAAAGCGGCACCACAATAATATTATTCTCAATATGATTACTTAGTAGCTTAAAGCTAGTACGATAATAGAATAGGTAAAAGGTATATTTGAAAAGCGTTTGAACCCAAGTACGGCCACAAGCACTAGCGCAAACGGACTATGGCTCGGAGAGAGAAAAATTTCCAATCTTCAACAGCGTCTGGACGATCGACACGACTCGATGAAAAGCTAGTAAAGTTCAATGCACCGCCGTTACTAGTTTTTTATCTTAACCGACCTTTATTTGACTAACTTATTTATTACGAATTGCGAGAAGAGAATACAAAGTACCTTATTTCTATGTAAGAGGCCCGCTCCGAATGTCGTAATAAGGTTTTCGGGTGTTATTACGTCAGAGAATATTAGCTCTTATATATTACTTATCTTCGTAAAACGTTACACACAATTTCGTCGCGAGTAAGTGTAACTAAATTCGACGGAGACCGCGAACTTATTAATATTTTGCGCCTTAAATTAGGTTAGAGTACATTAAAAATACGTATAATTACGTAATATATTCTCGTGTGACATATTATCATACAAAACATAGTAGAATGACAATATGTCTAATATACTTTCTTTAAAGTAGTAAGTAAAATTAGTAATAAATAAAAGTAAATCCAAGTAACGTTATTCTTACCAGATGATGAGTAGTCGTACGCCCTCGTGTACGAATCAAAGTCGTCGTCGTAAATAGATGCCTGTGCGCTTGACACGACGGAAATCATTGCAAAGAGCAAAAAGAACCGCAGCGCCATTTTGTCACACTTAAAACACTTGCTCGTATAGTTAAGATTCACTGTCCAGTCTCTATAGAAAGAAAGACATAAAAAATACCCTGGATGCAAACGACTCAACTGTTTAAGTCTTGAGTACAAATCGCAATGTATGAAAGTATGTCTGACTAATGATTTTAAGTAGGTAATGGCTAAAATTGTGTGCATCATGAGTTTTAGAACGAACTGGTGGTCAACAGAAATGCAGCGAAGGGTCAATGTATTTTTGAATAATTACGCAATCGTATACATTAATGTTTTTAAGAGTAAAAATCAAATTATAATTTAAAGAATATTTTTATGACGGTACCTTAAACATTAAGATCAAAGGAAACGTTTAAATCCCTACTGTAATGAGTATTATAAAACGGATTGAAAACAAAAAGCATACAAAAAGCTACATCTGCAGAAAGATCATTAAGGTTTTGTAGTTTCAGTTTTAATTGTTCTGTGTACCGAGAAACATTGTTTTTCATAAGAGCTACACGTAATAGGTACGTACGCCCACTTAGTTTTTTGTACGAGTTTTCTACCAGTTGAACAGTGGAGGTAAACATTGATTAATTACGCTAATAAGGTACGGAATACGTCGCAGGTTTGTTTAATGAGTTTAATTCATAAGTCAGGTATTAACGAATTAATCTTTCAACCCTTTTGTATTTCGTTTGGAAAGTTGAAGAGAAATTAAAATATTATTCCGAGTCATTGATATTTGTTAAGTTGTTTTAACATTATTAGCAAAGAAAGGTTTAAAAATAAGAAAATGTGAAAGGAAATTTGGAATTTGTTTAGAAATTCGTTTGACAAACCCTTTATAAAACTTCTTATAATTTTACAATAATCTAAGAAAATTCGCCGGCTACCTCACATGAGGCTTTTTATCGTTTGTTTTTTTGATGTACAGTGTACACGAACCTTGGTGTTGGCCACTAAAATACGAAAACTT